GCCCACCCTGTATATAGATATTTTGTATATGTATTTTACATACAAGCTATTTATCTTATCGAAGACTAGAATTTCCTGAAAGTGAATCTGAGAATTTCAAGTCTGATGAAGTTATTGTCAAGTGCGGTGTCCCCAAGGGTCCGTACTAAGACCCCTTTTATTCTTCATCTTGTTAATGATTTGTACTTGGCTTCTGATAAACTATAAAATTGGTGATTTATGCTTATGCCACTAATATTCCATGAAGGTCACATTAAGATTGGTTGTTACAAACAGTACAAACTTTAAATGTACAGAAAAACCAAACGAATATATGATATTTGAAAATAAAGAATATCTGTCTGATTAAATAAAAATTGCAAAAGCTAATATAGAAAAACAAGATGAGATTTCTGGGAGTTGTCTTGGGCACAGGTTTCCAATTTAATCGGAATGATACATCAAACGAATTATCCACACTTTAAAATCAAAAATGATAAATCATAACGCTAATCTATTTCTATCTCAATTACTGTCTGTTAAATATGAATCTTGCCACACGTAAGCCATTGTTATCCCACCGAACGAAGTTCGAGGGGGACATAGAAAAGCCGTCCGTCCGTTCGTCCGTCCGTCCGTCCGTTCGTGTGTCCGGGCAATAACTCAAATACCGGTTGACGGATTTCATTCAAATTTTATAGGCTTATGCCTTATGGGTGTAGGACCTCTGCTCGAGAAGGAATTTCCAATATGGCCACTAAATTCAAAATGGCGGCCATTTTTCCGAAAAAATATAATCTTTAATAACTCAAATATTAGTGGATGGATTTGGTTCAAATTTTATATGCTGTTGCCTGGGTACAAAGGAGCCTTGCTCAAGAAGACATTTTCAAGATGGCCACCATATTTCAAAATGGCGGCCATTTTTTGGAAAAAATATAATCTTTGATAACTCAAATACTAGTAAATGGATTTGGTTCAAATGTTATATGCTGTTGCCTGGGTACAAAGGAGCCTTGCTCAAGAAGACATTTTCAAGATGGCCACCATATTTCAAAATGGCAGCCATTTTTCGTAAAAAAACGTTATGTTTGATAACTCAAATACCATTGAATGGATTTGGTTCAAATTTTACATGCTGATGCCTAGGGACATAGGAGCTCTTCTTGAGAAGGGATTTTCAAGATGGCAGCTAAATTTCAAAATGGCCGCCATTTTTCATAAAAGAACGTAACCTTTGATAACTTAAATACCAGTTGATAGATTTAGTTCAAATTCTATATGCTGATGCCGAGAGAAAAAGAAGTTCTACTCAAGAAGATATTTTCAAGATGGCCACTGAATTTCAAAATTGCCGCCATTTTTCTTAAAAAAGCATTATCATTGATAACTCAAATACCATTGGATGGATTGACTTCACATTTTGTATACTGATGCCTAGAGATAAGGGAGCTCTGCTCGAGAAGAAATGTTCAAGGTGGCTGATATTTATGGAAATCTCTGCCATTTTTCATTAAACATGTAGTCCTTGATAACTCAAGTACCAGTTGACGGATTTGGAATAAATTGTATATGCTGATGCCTTGGGACATAGGAACTCTGCTAAAGAAGAAATCTAAAGATGACAGCTGAATATGGCAACCATGTTTTATGAAAAATAATCTTTGATAATTCAAATACCAGTGGATGGATTTGGCTCAAATTTTATATGGCCGCTATTTATCAAAACATGGTTTGTTCGGTGGGATTTGCTACTCCGTGGAATTGCTGTTTTTCTAGTTCACTTTTGGAATCTTACTTTTGTTTTTCACATGCACCTGAAGGATTGACATAAAGTAGCTCGCCCAAGTGAGTGCAAACAAAGACCCTTCTCAGGCCCGTAGCCAGGGGGGGGGTCCCCCCCCTGGCCAAAAAATCTTTCAAAATCATGCAGTTTTTCACCATTTTGAGCACTTCTCAAGTGATTTTAGCCATACTTGGGCCAAAATTGTCAAATGTGAACCCCCCTGGAAACTTTTGAAAACTGAACCCCCCCTTGGCAAATCATCGCTACGGGCCTGCCTTCTCGACTTCAAGTGAATTCTCAAACCTGCACGGCAGATATGATAGAGTGGCCTACTTACTTTCTGTACCTTTTATACATTAAAAAAACTAAATCGTAAAATGCACCTGCATACAGGTAAAGTAACATGCAATAGCTCTATACAATACAACATGCTAACAACCCCATTCAGATAAGACTTACAAAAAAACATTAAGAATACATACAGTAGTTGACCCTTAGTGTCAGAACGATGCTTATTTTTAGAACCGTTAAAGGTACTCAATATGGCACCACAAATACCCTGCGTGCAGAGTCTAGTTAAACTACGAAGTCGAAGCTCTCTTTTAAGAAGTAAAGTCAAACGATTGAAAAGGGTACACCACAAATGAAGAGGCCTATGGTAACTTGATGACATTTACCTCAATTTTTGCTTTTTGATTCTTCTATTTTCTAAATAGAATATTTGTATTGAATGTTAATTGAATCATCGTTTAAAGGGTAACACCATATGAAAGAAACGAGAGCAATATTTTCAGTAAGTTACAGTGTCATTGCTCATTTTCAAAAGGAGCAACGAGATTAATATTACAATGGTAAACGGTAAATCGTCTATTATAACAATGTTGTTAGATGCATATACAGATGTATTTTATTTTTACATGAATACTTTTCATTTCATATAATTTACAGATCTCGGCTTGACATCCTTTTGGATATATGAAGCCTTTTTATTATATTCATATTTAAATATAGAGAGCTGATGCTTGAACATCAAATTGCATTCGAAAGAAAATGAAGAATTAAGTTAATAAACAAGAAAAAGAAACGAGAGAGAAAGCTGCAGGTTTCGCATTGTATAACTTGATTTACTTGACAATAATAAATTACAAAAAAAGTTTATGGGACTCTCGCTTATATTAATAAAGTCTACACTAACATGATGTAAATAAATAACTGTATGCTATGCGAAGTCTGCATCTTTCTCAGCTCTCTGTTTGAAAAATATGGATCTAACAATTTTAAATCAGCATTAGATCAAAAATCCAGGAAACACAGAGGCAAAATTGGAATAAACTCCCGAAATCAAAAGCAGAAATATATTCAAGGAGTTTCATCAAATGTTTTTGTGATGTCAAATGTCAGTGTGTCCTTTGTAATTTATCAGATTCTCAGAATGTATCATTGAAAACTTACTAATAGGCACATGGGGTCTGCTGTTTCTTGTATTTTAATAGGGGCATATACGGGGTGAATCAAAAAAGGTAACCCAATCAAATCTTAACAATTCAGTCATCCAGCGTGGGTTTAAAACCATATTTGGCAAAATTGAACCTTGTTCAATGTTCCTTCATTCATTCAAGTTTAATTGGTCTATTTCAAATGGTCAAGATTTTATGGCCATTTTACAAAACATGCTCAAAATGCCGGTGTGAAAGAAATTATGGTCCCCCGGGGATAATGGTCTCCCTTCTTAACAGCCCTTACTGGCCCTGATTGTGTATAAGATAATAAGGGAAAGAGGTCACCATATAAATCAATGGAGAGTAGGATCATAATTTGATAGGACCTCCTTCCCTTTTACACCTGTCTTGGTTTGGCGGCAAATTTGAACGCATCGGGTGAAGTTTTCTGATCACACGCTCACAGATATCTTGTGTAATTGCTCTCATTTGCCCTCTAATTTCTTGTTTCAGCTCTCTGAATGCTTCAAGGTTTGTTGCACACATTATCTTTGAAATAATCCAAAGATAAAATTCCAGGGTTTCATATTGGGTATGTTTTATCATTTGAAGCACGTTTTGTATGGCCATAAAATCTAAAAACTGTGAAAATATATCCCCCATTGAATTAATATTGTCTAAAAATTACATAAAACTCTCATAATCCTCACCTACCTTGAAATTTTTTACAGATATCCATTTCATTCATTGAAAATACAGAAACAATTCGTAGTGGGCACAGTTAATTAAAGTGTCCGGTAATGCTGGTGACGTGTACATGTTGCACCGTAGCAGATTAGAAGAGTTGATTTTATCTGGGTGTGTAAGCTACATGTACACCGACACTTCAGCGTTGTTTAGTTCAGTGTGGTTTGGTTACAACTAGGTGATATTACCAGGACAAAACAATTATTCCTTGGAAATGTTAACTTGAAACTCACAGTTTTGACTGAAAAACCATGCGAAAAGTGTACAGAATGGTGAAAAACTGCATGATTTTGAAAAAATTATGGCAAGGGAAAGGGGGCGGGGGGAGGGGGCTCAGCTCTCTGACTACGGACCGGTGCATTAGGATAATAGTAGTAATTTTGATATATATGTACATATAATATACATTACACCCATAACATTTCGCCAGGCCAACATTCACTTCCACAGCCATGGTCATATAGAGCGTTATGTAATGCCAATAATTGGTTTGGTAAAGTATATGTCATGGTGTACTACTGTACTACTCGTGTTGAAACAACAAAACTGCATATATAGCAATACGTTTATTCAGCATTTACAAAGTATTGCTCAAATAGTCATCTGCAATTTCAATGATGAAACTTGTATGGTAATATCGTAACGACCCGAGACGTCTCTTGGGAGCTGTAGAACAAGCCAGATATAGACATGGAAGGGAGTGTGCTAGATTCAATGATCAAACCCAGAACGTTCCGCTTCAGAGTCCGATGCTCTCTGCCCCTGAGCCATAAGGGCTAACCACTACAGCTCGGGGTTTGTAGTAGCAACTAGTTATCGAGGGTCATTACACATCTATGTTCAATATCGACACACGACGTTCTTTTAACACCTTCCTCAGTGGCTTACCTATGACGCTAGTCGAGATGGATTTCTTTTTAATAACGCCTGTACACATAATGCACATATTTATTCATACCTTTTTGGACACAAACAGACTTTAAGAAAGCAAAACAGCTGCGGAGTAAATAAGGAGCCTTGAAGAAAAAATCAATTCATTGATTTTGTACCGTGTGGAGTGCGCTCTTCTATATAAGTACAAAGTAGCAGTGCATCGCTCGCTGGTGATTAGTGATTATACAATACTATTAAAGCGTGCTGCAGACGTAAGACCAGAGCTTGCCAAAGTGTTTTATTATATACTTTGGTTTTTGCTACATGTGGGCAAATAAACATTAGGAGTCTGTCAGGAGTAGTGTTATTATCTGTACTCTCTGTGCTTATGCAGAACTACATCACTAGGGAACATGGCGATCTCATTCGACGATATCTTGAAGGAAATAGGAGAATTTGGACGTTACCAAAAGATACAATATTTATTGTTATGTTTTGTGTCGATATTTTCCGCATTCCTCTCATTTAACATGGTCTTCACTGGAGCCACCCCGGAACATTTTTGCAAACGGACACCAGACGAAACCTGGTCTAACATTACACCTTGGTATGATAACACCACATATTTCTTGAACCGTTCTTCAATCGGCGATTCTATTGGATTAAATACATCATCGAGAGAGCAATGTTTTACCATAGAGAGAAGTATTAATGGATCTGATGTTAAATCGGCTTGCAAATATGGCTGGATTTACAGTACAGAAGAGTATTCATCTACAATTGTTTCACAGGTATACATATCATGTATTTCATAGTTACTAGCTTGATCAAAACATCTTAGGCTCGGGAACTTAGTGCAACTTTAATAAAAAGCCTAATTTTCAATGAGGAAATTACATCTTAATATTCTGTTCTCTATAATGTAATGTAATACTTGATTAAAAATTGTGTACAATAAAACCCCGATATGACTATATACCGTTCGTAGAAATAAAATTAAACCCTGATATGTTAAACCTAAATATTAGTATCTTTAAACGTATAGATGTACCTCATAAAATGACTGATAAAATGACAAAAGGTATACTACTAATCGTTTATATAAACCATACCAGGTCATACATACAAGGGCCGATCAAAAAGTTTCTTTCCGTTGGCTCTAGATTTTATAATAAGAGGGGTTCGGATGCTCTAACTTTAACATGAGACAGGATAGATAGTCTGCTTGGAACTGTACGAGTTTCATATAAATTGGTTTAGGCCTATTGGTAGTGAAACAGAGTCAATGCATATTTTCAATGACTAAGTTAGGTGGATCAGCGTTATATAACATATCTGTCTGGACATTTACCGACATCGTTTACAACCTCTCATAAGAAGGCCTTCAACACATGTTTTTGGATTGGATAAAAACTACTTAAACATGGTTACTATTACAGTCTGTTGACATATAACTCTACTTAGTGTAAGGAATTTTCAAAACTGCTGCTTAATACATTTTTTTTATAAAAACGCTGCTCCAACTAACTTAATCACTGGAAATGTGTACATTGACTCTATGTCACTACCATTATGTGGAACTCAAAATGTTTAAAGCAAACTTATTACCCTGTCTCATATTAAAGTTTGAGCATCCAACTTCTCTTATTATAAAATCTAGAGCCAACGGTAAGAAACATTTTGATCGGCCCTTGTATAACCCATATGATATAAATGAACTGTACCAGTACATATCATATTCCATACTTGATTTATAATCAAAATTATATGGGCTGATCGGTGTAACCTCCTTGGCATCTATGTAATTGTTTTTGTAACTGCTTCGAAAAATAAAACATATATCATAAACAAAATGAAATAACGATGAAATCAGAAAAAATATTGGCCTGGCTTGTCAGTGGGGTTTTATTTTTGGAAAATGTCCATAGATATGAACATTGTCATATTTTTCCTTGTGATAATGAATTGATTAAAAAAAAGATATATATGTCTTTAGAAAATAGTTATACACCAAGATATAAACGTCTGAAATTGTTTGCAATAACATACATGGGCTTTTTACCAATGATTCCAGATCATATTTTAATGTCAAGTTGACAAGTTGTCAAGTTTCCTTTGGTCGCTAATCGTTCGCCCCTGTGAGCCAACACTCAGTACGAAATATTAATCATTAAAGAGTATATCATTCATACATTTCGTATCTTTAAAATTGTAATTATGTAATTCATTTCATTTTGACACTAATCTACCTGAAATTTAAACCCCACTTAGGAAGCAACACAATATAATGAACTGTAGAATGTACAGTTGTAACAAAGAAGAGTGCATTCTTTTTTCTTTAAAAAAGTTGACATTTGGCAATATATCCAAAACCAGTGTGGAACAAAAGCTGCTCGCTGAGCTAATTACATCATATTCACTCATTTAATAGTTGATTAGTAAACACAAAAAGAAATCAAATTTTAAACTATACCTGGCCTGTTACATGCAGAGCGCTAAAATTGAACCATGTGCAACATAATCCATAGTGTCTATGTCAGCTTAACCATCGTAAATCTTAACTGTAGACATTCAATTTCAGCCTCTACTAGTTCCAGTTACATTGACATTATATTAAATGCACCTCTATTTTTAACCAAAAAGCAACGAGGTAAGAGCCTGGCTACGCTACATTTCCGGCTACGCTACATTGACTAAGTTTCATTAAAGGGACAATGAATCCATGCGTTTTCAAAAATTGTAGACATAATTTTCACTTACCTTTTATTATACTGCTTAATACATTACTTTTTTATTTTAACGTCGATTAGTTTCTTAAACATAACAATATATCAATATGTTGTCCTGTTACAAATGCATGTAAAAAATACTTCGAAATACTAGTAGTAGTAGATATATATAAATTGTCAGTAATTATTGTGTCCCGAACGAGTCTAGAAGAACTACACGTCCTAGATATTTGGTGAATTCTGAGGGTACTGATGTTAGAGTCCATGGCACAATAGTTTTCATTAATAAAATATTAATTCAATTTTTACAGAATTCACAATGATTTTAAGTTAAGGTATGGACGAATTCACAATGATTTTAAGTTAAGGTACGGATAAACTACGTATGTATACTGGGTTTTACGAGAAATAATAGCTGAGTGGGCCCTGGGCCGAGGCCATTAGTTCTCATAAAACCCAGTATTTAAACGTTTTTAATGATTTCAATTAACGATTTTGCCGTGCTTGTACACCAAGTATGTTTAAAGCCGTGTACATCAATGAGGTGTAAATTAATGGACGGTGTATAACCTGCACATTAAATTACTCAAGCATGCCAAAGGATGAGTAGTCCAAGGGATGAGTTGTCTAGCATGTCTAGGGGATTAGTTGTTCAAGGGGTTGTCTAGGGGATGAGCTGTCCAGGGATGAGTTGTCTAGGGGATGAGTTGTCCAGGGATGAGTTGTCTAGGGGATGAGTTGTCCAGGGATGAGTTGTCTAGGGGATGAGTTGTCCAGGGATGAGTTGTCTAGAGGATGAGTTGTCCAGGGATGAGTTGTCTAGGGGATGACTTGTCCAGGGGATGAGTTGTCTAGGGGATGAGTTGTCTAGGGGATGAGTTGTCTAGGGGATGAGTTGTCCAGGGATGAGTTATCTAGAAGATGAGTTGTCCAGGGATGAGTTGTCTAGGGGATGACTTGTCTAGGGGATGAGTTGCCCAGGGATGAGTTGTCTAGGGGATGACTTGTCTAGGGGATGACTTGTCTAGGGGATTAGTTGTCCAGGGGATGAGTTGTCTAGGGGATGAGTTGTCCAGGGATGATTTGTCTAGGGGATGAGTTGTCCGGTTACCCACGGAGGTAACATATTCTATTTTTATTCAGAGATTCCAGAAACGGCCATCTTTGACTTTAGGTATCATCTTTTATATTTCAAGTGGAACCTTGTTTGTGATAACAAATGGCAGAGAGGAACCGCAAAATCGATATTCTTTGCTGGCCGTCTAGCAGGTGCATTGATCTTTGGTCAACTCTCTGATAGGTAAGTTGGTGTTGTAGTCTTTGATCAACCCTCGGATTTGTAATGATGGTGAAGAGGTTAATGTCATGTCGTTTAAGTGAATTACAGAAGTTAAAAGCACTTTTTCGATAAGAGCTTTTCGATAAATACAATGAAAGTGAGGACTGATCCTCTACCAAATACATAGTCTTCACTAACTGCATCACGGCAGATATGACCGGGGGCAGATGTCGTGGGTAAATAACCAAACGTATTAAATCTAAAATCAGCTGCAAGCAAAGTATTGTTGTATTCATATTTCAAATTTTATTAATATAGTAATAACCTTTTAATAAATTTGTACAAAATGACCACACGCACGCAGTCGAATATTATACATGAAAAATCCAATAAAAAGATTGCCATCTTGACAAAATATGTGGAATTTATGTGTTTAATTAGCACTTTATTTTTTGATTTAGATTTGGTAGGAAGCCGGTGTTTATAAGCGCCCTATGTCTCCAGATAGTATCGGGGGTGATCGTGGCACTGTCGGTGAATATGATCATGTTCTACGTGTTTTATTTGATTTTGGGAATGATGCAGACTGGTGTCTTCTTGGTCGCCTATGTAATGGGTAGGTCCAATAGTTTCTCCTCACCATACGTAAGTAGGTCCACTAGTTACCCCTCTCTAGGCTACAAGTCATGTATACAAACCACACCCCGGACCCATTTGCAACTGCAAAACTCATCAACTCATCCCCATTTATAACTTTATATTAACAAGTCTATTATTACCACACGACGCCCTTTAAGATCTACTCATATATGGGAATATCTAATTATGAGAAAATTTAGAAGTATTTTAGACGTTTTATTTAGGCTGAAAGAATGAAATTTATGTCATATAGTTGCATGTTATCTATTTTATTTTGCCTCGCCTATTTTTGGGACATGTCTTTTCCATTGACCAATTAGATTGGCAAATCAACATTTTGTTTGTTTCCTAAATATTATTCTTTTATTAAAAATATTGGAAAGTTTAGTAATGAACCAAAATAGGTATTCTACTTTTCTAAATATTCGGGAAAATTATTTTTTACATCGGATACTTGGAATGATTGAATATGCTTACAACTAATTTGTTTGCTTATCATCAATCCCAAAAAGCTATTACAATTCATCTGTGGCTGAAAATCAATGATCGAGTCTATCTTTTGTAACCGTTGCACATGTCATTCATCAGTTTGACGCATGTGAAAATGAACAAAGCCTTGTCATGACATTATGCCAATCTGTAAGTTAATGCAAATGATTACAAAAGCGGAACAATTTAATAGATACGGGAACGCTGGCCTTGAAAACGGCGACTTACCCGTCTGATATGTCATCCTATCTTGTTGGGAAGATAAAAACTACCGGATGTATTACCATACCATATAAGGAACACTTTAATATTGATAAATTAATTCTCTAAAACTGGTTTTAAACTATTAAATATCAGGAATATCAACTCTTTATTCCATGGATTTAGTTTGTGCAATGTTATGTTCCAGGGAGCGAATTGGTTGGTCCGTCATACAGGAAAATCGCGGGGTTCGGAATCCAATATTTTTATTCAATTGGATATATGATCCTCGCAGGGTTAGCTTATTTGATCAGGGACTGGCGACACCTTATGCTCACGATAAGCATACCTGGTGTTGTGTTTTGCTCATATTACTGGTAAGAAACTGGTTCCAGTGTGTGTTTAGATGTTATATATAGATACTGTACGTAGTTTTAAGTACATCACGTGCATAAGTGAAAGTAACGAATATTGTAATCACGTATTAAAAAATTTGTGTAATCTTAAAAGAGAAACTCTCTCTCCCTCTCTCTTTGCATATTTTACTGTTATAATGGAATTATATTGCCCAATGCCCATTCTCCATTTCCATGGCAACTGATTAGGGCTATATTTCCAAAGCAATAACCTATCACATGTTATACCTAACGTCAAAGCTTTATATTGGTATCAGAAATGTCCATGTGGTCAGCAGCAAACTCAAACCCCTCAAAAAATGGATTTTTCAGAATTTCTCCACATATATTACACTATGTTAGACTCAATGCTATACTTTATGCTGTGTATATATCTACATTTTTTATTCAGTTTTATTCATTGAAATCAATCAATTCAAAATCAATTCAAAACATTTCATTTTATTTAAATACATTTGAACACATACAAAGGTTTAAAAGAAAACAAGTTTAAAAGAAACAAGTGAATGGTTGATAAGGTGGCATTAAAACATTTCTCAAAGAATTGTGCACTGAGCTTTAAAATACATAAATTTATTCTAAATGGTAAGAGTCGATCACCATTCACAAAAAGAGATAGCTTGTCTTGTCGGTACTTATACACTCGATAGTTGAAATTTTGTATGTTCCCAAGTTCATCCTCTAATTAAATGAAAAATCTCAATCTATGTGTGGCAGTGCAGCAAAAAACTACATGTAAGGTAGTCTCATTTTTGTAGCCACATTGGCATACAGGGGTCTCCACATTTGTAAAATTATGTGAATGTCAAGGAGGATTGGAAGCCAGGGTTCCAACTCGATATTCTTTAATCTCCACGCATGCGTCATTTGCTATTCGTGTCTGTACAATTTGTACGACTGCATGGAGAATGACCCGATACTCTCCAACAAAGCTATCGCTAGGTGATTGTTTTGCAGAATATCGGTGTTGCATTCTGGGAGCCAATCCTCCTTGGTGAATGTGAGACTTAAAGGCAAGGTCACATCTAACTTTATTAAAAATAATCTCGTAGCCTCTGTCCAGATCAAGATCTGAAGTACGGATCGATTTAGCATTTATTAGATCCTTCTTAAGGTCTGATTTGAAAATATTTAAATTATTTGAGCTTATTCCACTCATTCATAGCAGTGAAAATGCATATTCTATTGTAAATGGCTGGCCGCTTTATTGGAATAGTGTAGTCAAATCTATGTAGATTAGTTCTATTTTGGATTCTTTTGAAAGGCAGGAAATATTTCATACGTAATTAAGTTGTGACATTTTGCATGTAAATATCTTGTTATTTTTGTATCGGTGATGCTTCAATAAAATAACTCTTTTCTGAAGGATTCTGCCAGAATCAGCCAGATGGCTTCTTTCAAATGGGCGAAGAGAGGAAGCCGAAGCGATAATCAAGAAAGCTGCAAAGACCAATGGTGCAGCAATAAATGACAAGGTAAATCACAACTTTTAATGCATGACGTTTTAAACTTGATTTTCGGATACAAATAGCTGCAATTGGTAGAATTAGAGCTAAACTTTTTAGAATTGCAGCTATTGGCCCTCAATAAACATCTAGCAGGCCCGTAGCCAGGATTTTCCAAGGGGGTTCACTTTTTGAAAAATTCCAGAGGGGGGTTTACTTTGGGTCCAAAAATGGCCAAAATCACTTAAAAAGTGTTCAGAGTGAATGATGAAAAACTGCATGATTTTGAAAGAATTTTTCATAGATTCATCTATACATAATTGAAACATAGGCAGGCAGATTCATCTTTACAAATCGAGATATTGGAAAATAATCTTATTAAATAAAATATCAGAATCACAGAATCTTGTGATTAACTTGATTTTACACAGTATTTTATGTACACAAATTTTCAGAATCTCGAGTCTTTGGAGACAAGTCTACCACCACAGACTAAGTCAGGGAGAAAGTGTATCGGTGTGAACGTATTGCAGTTGTTCAGTTCATTGTCTATGGCAGCGTTGTCCTTCAACGTTTGGTTTAATTGGTAAATATGAAAAGATTGATGCCAATTCAATCATCATTCAGTCATCATCAGCAACTATCTTCACATACTTTTACGATTAAAGAAGGAGCATCATAATTGTGAATAGTTGTCTTTCTTCATGAAGTAACATGTCTATATTCTTTTGCGTTTTTAGGTTTGTTAATGCCTTTGTGTATTATGGTCTTGCCTTTAACACTAGTAACTTGGGAGGAAGTCCCTATATCAACTTCTTTATATCTGGTTGTGTGGAGATACCAGCGTACACGGTATCTGTCCTTCTCTTAGATAGGGTATGTAGACTCTCTTAAAAGTTTAAAACTTATTTAGTTCAGGTACTTGTACGTTTTTGCTGATTGAGTATTTTGCTCAAAATTGAATACAATTTGGAACAAAATACTCAATCGGCCGGACGCCGGCCGATGAATCGGAGCAAATGTGAATCGGGTATGACGTTGCTTCATCATTACTTCCCTTTATCATTAAATCACCGAATCATCACCTCACTCCATCATAACATCACTTCATCATTACGTCAGTTCAACATTACGTCACTTCATCATTACGTCAGTTCAACATTACGTCACTTCATCATTACGTCACGTCATCATTACGTCACTTCATCATTATGTCACTTCATCATTACATCAATTCATCATTACGTCACTTCATCATTATGGCTCTTCATCATTACGTCAGTTCATCATTATGTCACTTCATCATTACGTCAATTCATCATTACGTCACTTCATCATTACGTCTCTTCATCATTACGTCACTCCATCATAACATCACTTCATCATTACGTCACTTCATCATTATGTCACTTCATCATTACGTCAATTCATCATTACGTCACTTCATCATTACGTCAATTCATCATTAACTCACATCACCATTGCTTCAATTCATTACCAAATCATTTTATCTTTACGCCACTTCATCATTAACCAACTTTATCATTACATCACTTTATCATTAACATCACTTCATCATTACGTCACGTCATCATTACGTCAATTCATCATTACGTCACTTCATCATTACGTCACTTCATCATTGGGTCAGTTCATAATTACGTCACTTCATCATTACGTCACCTCATCATTACGTCAATTAATCATTAACCCACATCACCATTACCTTACTTCATCATTACGTTACGTCATCATTACGTCAATTCATCATTACGTTACGTCATCATTACGTCAATTTATCATTAACTCACATCACCATTGCTTCAATTCATTACCAAATCATTTTATCTTTACGTCACGTCATCATGAAATAACATCATCATTACATCACTTTACGTCAATTCATCATCAATTCGCATCACCATTACTTCACTTCATCATTATCACATACGTTTATCATTATGTCACTATATTTTGTTAAGGTTGGACGAAAGCGGCTGCTCATTGCGTTTATGATTATGGGTGGCTTGGCGTGTATCATTAGCGCGTTCATTCCCTTAGGTTGGTACAATATATTGATAACATAAGATCAATTTGAAACGTATTTCACTTTGTTGGATTTTATAATTCATTATGTGATGATTAAGTATTTTACTCTTTACTTAAGCTGGTACAATACATAAGCTTTTAACATAATAACATAAGCCGAGTTGAAAATAATTTGCTTCACGAAGACATTATTATTTCAGACTTAATGTGGTTGATCATAACATTCCAAATGCTAGGAAAATTCTCCATCACTGCTTCGTATGCTATCATCTATCTCTATGCAGCTGAGGTTTTCCCTACATCAGTCAGGTAACTAAAATATGATGCGAAGCTAATATAATAAGGGGTGCTACATGTACAGCTAAGAATTGCTCCCTAATCAGCAGTTATATCCGAGTTTAAATTTGAAAGACTGCTTGGACGACGAGTTTTTTATGCATTTTGCATTGCATTGCACTCCCCATTTAAGACATCCTCCGAACACAGGCCTCCAGAACTCGTACCTCCTTCTTCTGGAAGAAGGAATGAACTTTGTGGATGATGTCTGGAACCCTGCGTTCGGAGGATGTATTTAGGATTATTTTTTATATTATTTATTTTTTCTTCATCCTAGCCAAAAGCCACATTTTACACTTAAATGCAAATCATTTCTCAGATCAGTTCTTAGGTTTCCCAACTACCAAATTAAAAGCCGTATCCCAAACCACAAGTGTGTGTACGTGCAAATGTTAATTAATCTAGTGCTTAATAATAAGTAATCAAAATACATTGAAATGATGATTTTATTACTCCATGCAGGCATCTGCTGTATTGTATGTTTGATATGACATTTTACAGCTGCTTGTGTATCTGTATTGTAGGAATATTGGAATGGGAATTTCGTCAATGTCTGCTCGTGTAGGCGGAATTATTGCTCCACTAGTAATGCTTTTAACTGACACCTATCAATCGTTGCCGTTACTTCTTTTTGGCGGTACATCAATTTTGGCGGGTCTTTTGGTAATTGCCCTGCCAGAAACGATGGGCAGACCATTACCAGAGACGATAGAAGATCTCCAGGCAATGCATTCAAATAAAAAGAGTTACAAAATGGAAGAGAAACAGAGTAATATCATAAATGATAATGCTGTTAGTGGTGAACTTTTAGCAAACGATGATGTGTAGCAAGATTAGACAGAAGTATGTTTGTTATATTGCGATACCCCGTGCTTCACTGTTCCATAACTAGTTACTTTGATGGAACGTCAATGTAACAAAATGGATGAACTTCCTCTTTGCGAGTCAAGCTGCAGATTATAATTCGGCACAAAACTATCGTCTAGTTAGTTTCTTCGATTTGGAATTTGCTTTGTTAATGAAGTTGCAGTTTATATATTTAGCCCCTCGCTTTTATTACATTAACGAGAGTCCGTTATACCAATGTATGCTTCTTTGACGACTTACGTCAAGGTAACAAAACCGATGATCTAAATGCATGAATTACACCTTTATTTAAAAATCCAAACCGAGAGCATTTCTAAAAGCAAGACCATATTGTCTAACTTTGTGCCAAATGATAATCCGCAACGTGACTTATAGGTAAATTTAAATCGAGAAAACAAAAACTCGTATCCAGGAAGTTCATCCATTTTGTTACATTGACGTTCCGTCAAAGTAACTAGTTGTGGAACAGTGTATTTGACGTACGACTTTTGAGTCTTCCATGGATAGTTGAAATGTCGGATATCTAGCCATTTTCATAATAATAGTGGGTGCGAGGTAAAGAGCCAGGGTGTCTCTTGAAAGCCCATGCTTCAGGTACTTATCTCAAATGCCTAGGGTTTATCATTACTATACTGTAAATTCATAAATTAGCAATACTTTACTTATATTATTTGTGTGTGTGTGGGTGGGGGTGGGGGCTTTTATACCTTACCTTATATATCTAGATCTTTTGATAGGGCCCTTCTTTTGGCATTTGGAGGCCTTTTGGGAAATCCTATATGAACCATATCCACTAATCCACTGAAGTCCAACATGGAATGATTAGTGTATTTGTAGAAGCAAAACTGATGTTTCTGTATATTTGCACGCGCAATATCAATCGATCTTATAGAAGCAGTGATCTCCCCAGTATTAAAGCAAGTGGGCGCAGCACCCACCTGATATTTTAAAAACAGTCTTGCACCCACCTGAGATTTCATTTGAACCAATTTGAAAATGATAAAAATCATGTAAGATGGGCATATTTTGACCAATTTTGGTCTGAATTGTCAAAATGAGAATTGTGCACCCACTTGAATGTTTAAATGTTTAGTCCATTGATTCTGTAAGTTACACACAATTGTGAATTAAAAATAGTTTAGGGTAATTTAATATGAGAATGACCAGTGAACATTTCATTACACCTTCGAGGCTTTATAAACGTTACCAGTATGTACCAGCATTGATAAACTAATATGAAAACGGTAAAAATTAATGAAAAATATTAGGATCATTAGTCACCTTAGAAATGCATGCGTGTATGTTGCCAATTATCATGCATCGTCTGTATTTAACTACATGTATTGTTGACATTTTATCAATAGTTTCTCATCTAAAATCCCATATGCCAATGCAACTGTTATATTAACATGTGATTTCGAAAATGAATCTATATTCACGTACGTTATGCAGGCCCGTAGCCAGGATTTGCCAAGGGGGGTCATTTTTCAAAAATTTCCAGGGGGGGGTTCACATTTGACAATTTTGGCCCAAATATGGCTAAAATCACTTGGGAAGTGCTCAAAATGGTGAAAACTGCATGCTTTTGAAAGAATTTTGGCCGGGGGGGGGGGGGGTTCGAATTTTGTTTTTATACCATGCATGATAGTATATTGGCTTTTATACATGTACCATCACCAGTTATTTGATATGATACTTTACAGTGAATGAAATTGTCTTTATCAATTGTATGCATTTCACACAGAGCTAGGCAAGGTATGTCCGATTCCAGCCAATCCGAACAAAGTATTTGAACAACCCACCCAAGGTCATTAGTTGAATGGTTGTCAAGGGGACAAGTTGACTCTACAGATTGAAATTAATGCTTTGCCAACCTGACCCTTGCAAAAAGTTTCATTGGAAATTCTTTTTGTGATTTCGTATCTTTTAGGTGATACCGTATAAAACATTTTGCAATTGTGTGGGGAGAATTTAAGTCCAAGCCTTGTAATGCATTGTGGCTGATTCATTCCATTCAGGCGTTATTTCCTAAACTTCACACTCGATGCTGCACACCTCGTGCAAAGGTTGAAATATCACCTTTTTGACGAACGATTGCATAATGTGAGCTAAATGTACGCTCTGGTCCAAAATTTGATTTAGGGGGTTGGTGTTGGACGATACAGTCGTTAGATAATGAAAACAGTATTACATGTTAGTATTACTTGAATGCATTGCTCACAAAATAATAAAACAAAAACACCAATGGGCTAAAGTTGAAATGATTTATTATAACTGTACAATAGTAAAGCACCATAATTTACATATATTCTTGAAATAATATATACAGAAACTATGTACACAATTAGCTTATTAAAAGGGATTAGGGTTAGAATCCCGACAACTTTGCTATACATTACAAGGAAACATTTGGGCAAAAATACATATTTTATTAAAAATTCAGTGTGTTATTATGTTTTATTTTCTACTTCAACTACTTCAACTATTTCAATTTGTAAAGCTATTGACGTTGGATGACTGGTATATGGTAAACGTTGAGACTTTACAATCTTGTTCCTAAAATAGTTTATAAAATAATTGCATAACTCATTCTACGTGGTCGTGACCTACTTTAATAATAAAGGTTTTGTAGGGATATTAGTATATGGCCAGACATATTTACATTCTACGTTTGCTATTGTACATCATTTATGTACACATTATGTTAATTAATAAATAAATACATTTCCATTGTAATGTATCAATATCTGCTTCCCCGTTTAGCATGGCAAATAGCGTCGTGCTGTTTCAAAATTACACATAGGTGAAAATTATGTGGGCAAATATAGGGCCAGGGGAACATGCGATTTTAAGTCCCGTAATTCCACTAATAAGTTACATCAAGAAGGATTGGCTCCCAGGATCGAAACTCGATATTTTCCAACAATGAAAATGATAATACCAAAATTCACGATTCAAATGTTGAAGTGAACAATATGGCGGCTGTTTGAATTCGAATTTTGTATGACAACATTCCCATTTATGGGACAGAATATCGATGTTGCACTCTGGGAGCCATTCCTCCTTGAAGTTACGTTTAAATAAAAATGATACAATATACATTTCACAAGTTACATCAAAACAACTGTAAGATGTACATCGTACATTTCATAAGTTGCATTTACATAAAAATGAGATGTAAATTTTGAAAGTTAAATCTACGTAACAATGGTTAGATGTACATTTCATAAGTTTCATATACATACAATTTACACATAGCTAGGGAAGGTGTGTCCAATTCCACCCAATCAGAACACGCTATTTCACGTAACCGTATTCCGTTATAAACCAGAAGAGGAGGGAAAGCCCCAGAGTTTTAAAGATGACAGACATAATTACGTCTCTTGCTTACCACCTTCGTTCATTCGAATTTTCGTTGGCTAATTTTCAAATACTACACTTCGATGTGATGTTTTAATTGATAAGGGCACGGCTTTTCTAGGCACATAAGTTCACTCTTTGTGCAAACCTGGAAGATGTAGACAATGTGGGGAAGGAGTTATTCTTGTTTGAAAAATAACATGCGACTCAATTGAGGAATGGAGAAAATTTCCCAACATGCACCCTGGCCTTAAGCCCAAGACTCAATGCATTGTAGAATGACCATTCCTTTCAGGCGTTGTTACTCAAAATTAATACTCGATGCAGCGCATCTCGTGCAAATTTTGGAAAGCAATGTCTTCGAGTAATGGTCATTCCCCGTTGCTCTAAGTACAGGGCTTAAATTCTTAAACGATAAGTTGTACTAGTATATTTCATAACTTGTACCTACATAGAAATACATACATAGAATTGCATCTCCATAAAATGTAAATTAATGTACATGTTATTTACAAGAGATGTACAATTGCAAAGTCGATAATAGACTTCATATGACAAGTAAACATTTTACGAACACATATATCCTTTGAAATGTGATTTCAATCTTACCACTTCGGATTTATTTTACTGCTATACAATTTATACATGATATAAACACACGGGAATAGCCTGACAACGGTTAAGTCAGATACCGTTGTCACAAATGGCGGTTATAACCGTCGCTTCAGTTAGATTTTCATGAACTGTATGTTTAATAGAGCACCTAGACTAGATACCTTTGGAACAACAATCAATCAAAGTGTCTTAATACTTATTGTGCAGCTAATAATGTTCTACCATCGAACGTCGTATCTGACTTTACCGTTGTCAGGCTATTCCGGTGTGATATGATAAACATAATCGATAAATGTAACCGTATTGTGTTCATACACTAATTCTTGACAAAATGGCCGATATAATCGACCACATACAATACTATCCTTCAACGTAAAACTTATGTTCCCCGAAACATAGTTATTGGTGTTCCTGGTTTCTGATTCCAAGTGCTACCATCCTATCTTGAACATCTTTTCAATGTTTTATGTTCAATATGAACAACACTACACGCTACCAAAACCAATTTGTGTCTCTATCTATTGTCTGAAATTTTAGTCAGTTCATAACAAAACCTTCAATAAACCTCTATAGATGTCATGTTTAGACTAAAGTAACATTATTCAGATAATCCAACTTTCCATTATGACGTATGATGTTCCCACTTGTCTGCCAATCTGACTAAGTATTGTCACAAAGGTAGTATGGTGTTTGGACACTTTACACTGTCTTCCAATCTGACTAAGTATTGTCACAAATGTAGTATGATGTTTGGACACTTCACATGTCTTCCAATCTGACTAAGTATTGTCACAAAGGTAGTATGATGTTTGGACACTTCACATGTCTTCCAATCTGACTAAGTATTGTCACAAAGGTAGTATGATGTTTGGACACTTTACACTTGTCTTCCAATCTGACTAAGTATTGTTTCAAATGTAGTATGATGTTTGGACACTTCACACTTGTCTCCGATCTGACTAAGTATTGTCACAAATGTAGTATGATGTTTGGACACTTCACATGTCTTCCAATCTGACTAAGTATTGTCACAAAGGTAGTATGATGTTTGGACACTTCACATGTCTTCCAATCTGACTAAGTATTGTCACAAAGGTAGTATGATGTCTGCACACTTCACATTTCTTCCAATCTGACTAAGTATTGTCACAAAGGTAGTATGATGTTTGGACACTTCACATGTCTTCCAATCTGACTAAGTATTGTCACAAAGGTAGTATGATGTCTGCACACTTCACATTTCTTCCAATCTGACTAAGTATTGTCACAAAGGTAGTATGGTGTTTGGACACTTCACATGTCTTCCAATCTGACTAAGTATTGTCACAAAGGTAGTATGATGTTTGGACACTTCACATGTCTTCCAATCTGACTAAGTATTGTCACAAAGGTAGTATGATGTTTGCACACTTCACATGTCTTCCAATCTGACTAAGTGTTTTCACAAATGTAGTATGGTGTTTGGACTCTTCACATGTCTTCCAATCTGACTAAGTATTGTCACAAATGTAGTATGGTGTTTGGACACTTCACATGTCTTCCAATCTGACTAAGTATTGTCACAAACGTAGTGTGATGTTTGGACACTTTACATGTCTTCCAATCTGACTAAGTATTGTCACAAAGGTAGTGTGATGTTTGGACACTTTACACTTGTCTTCCAATCTGACTAAGTATTGTCACAAATGTAGTATGATGTTTGGACACTTCACACTTGTCTCCGATCTGACTAAGTATTGTCACAAAGGTAGTGTGATGTTTGGACACTTTACATGTCTTCCAATCTGACTAAGTATTGTCACAAAGGTAGTGTGATGTTTGGACACTTTACACTTGTCTTCCAATCTGACTAAGTATTGTCACAAATGTAGTATGATGTTTGGACACTTCACACTTGTCTCCGATCTGACTAAGTATTGTCACAAATGTAGTATGATGTTTGGACACTTCACATGTCTTCCAATCTGACTAAGTATTGTCACAAAGGTAGTATGGTGTTTGGACACTTCACATGTCTTCCAATCTGACTAAGTATTGTAACAAAGGTAGTATGATGTTTGTACACTTCACACGTCTTCCAATCTGACTAAGTATTGTCACAAATGTAGTATGATGTTTGGACACTACACACTTGTCTTCCAATCTGACTAAGTATTGTCACAAAGGTAGTATGATGTTTGGATACTTTACACTTGTCTTCCAATCTGACTAAGTATTGTCACAAAGGTAGTATGATGTTTGGACACTTCACATGTCTTCCAAATTGACTAAGTATTGTCACAAAGGTAGTATGATGTTTGTACACTTCACACGTCTTCCAATCTGACTAAGTATTGTCACAAAGGTAGTATGATGTTTGGACACTTCACATGTCTTCCAATCTGACTAAGTATTGTCACAAATGTAGTATGATGTTTGTACACTTCACATGTCTTCCAGCCTGACTAAGTATTGTCACAAAGGTAGTATGATGTTTGGACACTTCACATGTCTTCCAGCCTGACTAAGTATTGTCACAAAGGTAGTGTGATGCTTGGACACTTCACACTTGTCTCCAATCTGACTAAGTATTGTCACAAAGGTAGTATGATGTTTGTACACTTCACACTGTCTGTGAATCTGATTAAGTATTGTCACATATGTAGTATGTATAATACGGCGTATATTGGAAGAGTTGTTGTTTATTTGCATCCTCGTCGTAATCTTCAAACTGAACGCTACCAAATACACTTTCTGCATACGTTGGTGGTGCTGCAAAATAATGTTGAATTGACTTATTAATTAATTAAATCAATCAATATTTTGTTTCACCATCATTCATGTACATATAAAATACAATTAGCACACATCTTCACAGATTTCCAATCTAAAGAAATTTCGCTGTATGTTTATATAAAATGGGTTTCAGTTAAATTCAATACATGGCATAAATCCTGTGCTAAGGGCTGGAATGAAAAGTCACTATATACCCCGGTGGGAATTGAACCCATAACCCTCCGATTATGTGTCAGTATTTACTGTTTTTATGAGTTTTTGATTAAATAATGTTGAGACATTGCTCCTGTAATGGCGTATTTCATTACAAAAACTGCAAAACGATCATTGAAATTACAGAAAACGTGTTTTGCAGAGCAAGAATGAAATCTAATATAGAACCAATCAAGAGCCTCCATTTTATAATCCACGTATAAAATAAAGGAACATGGGAGAAGTGCAGTTCTGATGATACAGATAAATGTTATGAGTATCAGAATGGTGAATGAACGATTTGAATCTTCATCTGCTTTTGGTCATACTTACGAGCGTTCCCTGGGTATGGGGGTAGGGGTCTCTCAGCCAGGGCTGCCCTCGAGGCAGACTCTGCCTTTTCCTCCCGTTCTTTGCTCGGGGGAGGGGAGAATAAGTTCTTTAATGGGACAGTTCCTATTACTATCTCAATAGGAATCTGGAGACTGGTTGAAGATCCAGCGGGTCGTATTTTCAACTGAAAGAAGCACACGGCCATGAAAAAGCGCAAATACAGGGTGATCCAGCAAAACGTTTTCTCAGTTTCAAGATTGGTCCAGTAGTACTCAAATGGCAGCATATTTGACGTTGCTTCCGGATCACGCTGTATACTTAATCTTGCACCGAGTTCTTTTGACTAACCCATACGATTACTATACCCTCATAAGAAGGGAAGAGGAGGGAAGAGGAGGGGGAGAAAGCATTATATCAGTTTTCAAGTTTTAAGCTAGCCGTCCCGTCGTCTCTTTTCAATAGGCCCGTGAGTAAGCTAATAACCTAGATGCGAGTAGGCAGTTACCAGTTTCACCACCAGGTGGCTCATTCGGGTCAGATAGGATGACGGGTATAGTGGAAAGTTCCCTTTAACTTAAATAATACCAGTTTTAGTGGTTCAATTTTCAATTCACCCTTATGTATCTAATAGTCATGCTAATTAAAATATGTTCAGTTTTTGATTTTATAACATTGGGTCTATGGAGAATCTCCCCGAACTAGAAGTCACATTTTCCAAAAAATAAAATTTGTTGATAAACAATTTTCAAAACCATATTTCACTTTGACTAAATTTTGAATATTTAATAAAATAAGTTAAGATTATTACTACTCGCATCTAGTCTATTGTGTGTCTGACCGCATACGTAATAAACCAAGATTATACGATTGGATCTCATCGTGCCTCGTTTGGTACATGTATACTATACATAGTAATTTGGGATGGATGATCGAATTAGATGCTGTAATAACAATAGAACTGAACATTTGAGATAAACTTACGGTTAAAATATAGTTAATATCAATGAAGTCACACGAGCCAAGTCTCGAGGGTGGCAAGGCCGGTATTTGTATGAGTTCATTTTCCCAGATCTGTGTTGAATGGGCATTCACTTCTCCTTTCTTTATGAACGCTAGGTGATGCGATGACCATTGTGTCTTCTGGCGTCCAGCAGCCAATCCGCTCCAGGTGGCATGGTACGCTATTTGCTGAAAATATGAAGTTTTGAATTAATTAACTATATGTAATATAAGGTTCGTTTGGAAAATTCGTTTCTTTTAGCTCTAAAAAGTCAGAACACACCATATAACCGATTATGTAAGTTTCCTATTAATCATTTTGGAAATGATTATTTGGTTACCATGGCAACACTTAATTTGGTACCGACACTAGTTAATAGCCTGTAAAATTTACCCGCCTCTCAAGCAGACATCAAGCATTAGTAGCTTCGATATGTTACAAGTGTAAGTGAATGTAAGTCATTGAGATTCGAAAGTGGATCTTGAACTAGAGACAATTGTTTCATCGGCTCTTGTATGTCAGTATTGCATTGTGATATTTTGAATATTGGATGTTTTATGAATTTCTAAATATATTTCAAATACACCTGAACTGCACTTAGATATATAAATGTTGATTAAATATTTTTCTAACTTTTTCTAACTTTTATAGATGTCAACACACTCGAATAAATTATGTGCATTTTACCAAAACAAAAAGAAATGACTCTTGCAAAGAGGATGGACTGGGACAAAGTCTTGCCAAGGGTAATTAAATCACCGATTGGATAAATACATGAAAAACGAGCGCCCTAAACCCGGTTATCGGCAATTCTGGTCAATATTCGGTGTTTTATATCAGCTTCGCAATTATAGAAAACAAATTAATGTTTACTTGAGCAATCAGGCACCATGTTTGGGGATATAAGCTAGCTGAACAGAATATACTATTAAGAAAAATCAAGTCAAATTGTGTTCCATTCTGAATTTAAGTGGTAGAAAAGGAATAAGAGTGTATAATTAAAGGATTGAGCAATAATTTCCATAAATGTGTCACTCTAACCTTCAAATTCATAAAACTTGAAAGGGGACGTGTGCTCTCTAGAAATTGATTCCATCACACTACCCTACCCCCATACTGTAGCCTGTATTTCTTTAAAAGGGATACAGGCTGCAGTGAACGAAGTTGCAAATGGATGACGTTCAAATTGTGTTCCCTCTGAAAGTATAAAATGGAGCAATAGTTTCTATAATCATGTCACCTTTACCCTCAATTTGAAAAGGGGATGCCAGCTTTCTCGGAATTTCTTCCATATGGTATTTCAAATACCTTATATGGAATTAAGTCATGATTTCTTGGAAAATAGGTTTGATAATGAAAAGGGCATATCTTTAAAATGAAGCGCAGACCACTGGGTTGGTTCCCAGAGAGCGCATGTGCAGAATTTCCAAAATGGCAAATTTGACACGAAGATAGTATAACAAATTAGACAGCATTAAAAAGTATTTTAAACTAAGTACATCGTCCTGAGTCGATAATATATCAATTGCTGCACTCCCTTTTAAGTCTGGGTTATGTTTTAAATCACATGTTGGTATACAGAGGCTTAGTCAAGTACGCGAGGAAAATTTAAATAAGTGAGACAACAATTGATTGGATCATGTTTCAAATATTCTTTAACTCCTTCATGACTGAAAATTTTGGGGAAAATGGAAAGAAATGAAAAACTGAAATGTAAATGATTCTAGAAGCAAGAAAAGGAAGCAACACCCAATAAGTTATATGTCATTTTGAAGGAGTTATGTCATAGTACAAATACCACTGAAATCAGCATAAGAAGATCTATAATTCTGCGTTTTCAGATTTTTAAATTGAAGTCTCAATAAAAAATTAAATGCTAAAATAATTCCATTTTGAAAAAAATCCAACTGCGCCATCTTGAATTATGACGTCACAAGGACACTATCTCATTTGCATATTCACATTTTTTTCAAAAAAGTATGGGTATAGCCCTTCAAAAAACATAAAGTATGTATAGCCATTCAAAATGACATATAACTTATTGGGTGTTGCTTCCTTTTCTTGCTTCTAGATTCATTTACATTTCAGTTTTTCATTTCATTTTCCCCAAAATTTTCAGTCATGAAGGAGTTAATGATATAACAATGTGAAGTGGATTTACCATACAGGTTGCTTGAAAAGTATGCATCATATTTAAATATAAATCCAAAATTATCACGCTTGATCATAGGGGCAATGAACAAATGAAGCTTAGTTAACAGAAACTGGATTTGGATGAAACAAAAAGCCATATTATAGAAGACGTATGATCTAAAAATAGAATGCAAAGAGTTTATAACTTCATTATACCAAATTATTCCTAAAGTCTATTCATCGTTTGTCAACATTTAACAAACAGTCAATCCGTTGTAAGAATTCCCAACTTTAATTGGCAACTTTTCCCAAAACACACGCATATTCTTTTCTTTGTAATCACATTATCCCCAATTTAGGGCGAGTTGATGAATGAGACTGTGTTCATTTTAGACTATATCGAAGAGTACTAATGGGTTACTTCTAGAGAGATCCGGAGAACCGGTCACTGCATGCGATATTTTTTATTAGATTTGGAAGTCAGATATCAATCGATTAGAAAACGTATGATTCAATTCGATTTTCATGATTTATGGTACGTACGTGTAATTTGTTTTGACATTTTAGTTTCATTGTAGATCATGTGGTCTTAGTTTGTTTGGTATTGTATTTTATGCATGGTAAAATAATTCAGAAAACGAATGATTCAATTGGATCTTCATCGATTTATGGCACGAACGTGTAGTTTGTTTGGCATTGAATATTGCAGATTATGTGATCTTATAGCCATGATTATATTCCAGGGCCTATGGTTCGATGGCTGCTTCTACATGCTTCTTGTATGTTATTTACTCTGGATATTTCGTTCAGAGTGATTATGATACATCTGTATTCTACGGAACAGTGTTTCAATTTTGATGTAATTTCCCCGAAGATTCATAGAATTCACACATGTAGTGCTAGTGCTATATACCACAATTGCAGTCTCCCAAACGCCGAATGTTGGCTATAATTGGCATTAACTAATTTAAAAAACGTCTAAGTTAATGAGAACAAAAGTTAATTAACAGAAACGTCGTCATTGAAAATTGATCCTATTTGACTTAATCTTGTCTTTTGAGAGTACAGTTCAACCGAATGGTTATTTTATTGCAAAATATAGAAACAAGGACTTGCTAGGATCTGTGATGAACAGAAAACGAAATCGAATTTGAAAGAAAAATATATTATAGGTCGAAGTCCCCCGAGTAAATAAGGAAAATTGATATAAAACTTTGGCAACAAACTGTTAATTGGTTTATTGTGTAATGTGAACCTGAGACAATACCCTTGGCATTATAGTGACATAACTAATATGCTAACCTCGGGTCACGGTAGTCTGAAAAAACACACTTACAATTAAGACGAACGGATGAGGAGCAACGTAGTAGCCTACTTTGGGAAACCACAAATACGCATAATCCACTCATAGTGGCAGCAGAGAGCAACGCTTAAAAGCAAGTCATCTGCCACATAGAGTCTTAATTTCATTATTCAAAATAATAATTCGAGATATAGAATGTTGAAGAATTCAAGAGTTTTCAGACGCAGAAATGTCAAAAATTCATTCGAATAAAAACTTCATTGAATGTTCACGAAATAAAGCAAAAATTGCTCTAGACATTTTAGAAATTAGGTATGAATGCTGTGGGGATATTGTTATATTGTTAATATAATGGGGATATTGTAATATTGTGCCATTTTTGTAGACTTAATTGAATTCTCTAATTCCCTAGTGATTTGCTTGCCCCTGAGGAGATGAGCAGTAATTCCCGGGCACTTATTTACGTGTATATAATAACCGTGATTATGGTAAAGAAGAGCTCCCCATTTTCGAGTTGAGCGCCAAGCATCTTTAACCTGGTAAGACTGAGAACCATTGACGATTCCATCAAGTAATTATGCCTTTAATTGAGTTAGCACTTTAGTAATTGTTTCCACTGTGAAGATTAAGTAGAAGCACCTTCATCCAAAAGGAGTGCTGGGATCTGGGGTCGAACCATCCTGCCTATGAAGGAAGTGTTTACAGCATTACACCATTCAAGCAAAAAAAACTGGTGCGTGTTGCATCTTAATGTCATGCCACGGTAGGACACCTGTGTAAAGCGCGTAAGGCGCGTAAGGCAAAAAATAAAGAGATTCGGTGATATGAGTAATAGGCTTACAGGTAAGATATCTATAATCACACATACCTGATGAAAATCTACCCTAGTGTGTTTGATTTTCCTAGAACTATTATTTGTGATTGCGGCGTTGATTTGTACAACTTCCCCAGCGACGTACCCCCGCCTGTTGAGAGAAAAGGTGGCGCTGATAGAACCCTGTTTGAAGAAGAGAAACTTCATTTCTTTGTCCGACTCAACTTGGATTGGTTTCTGAAGAACAAATACATCACGCTTCAAGATCAGGGTGTCTCCCCGGTGTCTCCCTCGGGAGAGTGGGTAACATAAAATGATGTAAATGCCAAGGTACCAGCGTAATAAATGTAAATCGGGGTTTAGTTTATTAATAAGCATTGGGACATTTTTGATAATCTATATATGGTATAATGCGCATAAAGGGTATTGGGATCATCATAGATGTGAATTTATGAATACAATATCATATAAATCATTTTAATGGCTAACTCGTAACAATGGACTTGTTAGTTATTGGTCTAGACTAGTGATAAATTTCACAATACTGAAATATGATATGATTTACGATAAAACAAATATACAAGGAAGTGGATACAGTCTGGGTTATAAGGTATACAATATGGACAATAAATTAGAAATTTAAGCCCAAGATTTAATGAATTGAAAGATATTAATTTTACAACGTATAATGTCTTGTTTCCAGACTATGAATGAGTGCGATAGCACGAGTTCAGAGTCTAAGGAACAAGATATGAGTGGATTAAATAATCCACAACTACAACAGATTTAGCACAGAAGAAGAATGTTTTTTAGAAGGAACCTTTTGGCAAGTGTTAAGAAGATTAAATGGTCAAAACCAGGTCAACCCTAACCATTTGACACTTGACCTGTATAGGCAACTGCCGTGCTTATTATTATTAGATTTATTTTCCCTCCATTGATTGGAGATAATATAATAATTATATGTTACAGTATTATTGGATGCGTATCAAAATTTAAACAATAGACAAAATAGAACTCTAATAAACACCAATAACATTATAAGTAAGATCTGAGAATTGACAAGAGTAGGTATAATACACAAATATGAACATAAGCTATGAAATACTTGGAACCGCATACATCTTCCCCAAGGTCGATGTTGCATGACCAGGTGGTCATTCTTGCTACGTGTTAAAATATTAAATATTTAATGCTATTCCCTATAACACTATTTATAGACTTATAATGCTTTGCTCGGTTGTAATTTCAAGAAAGGAATAAGATAGATGATGTCTGAAACGCTGCATTCGAAGAATTGCCACCCCCATTCTAGACTCTACACACAGATGAGCTTAGTAGCTTACCAATAGATCAGGTTCATTATTTAAATCGAGGCTGCCAACGACACTGAAAGCTCGCGTTGTTTTCTGGTTGAAATGCCAAGGGATCTCAACGGTTGCCTTGACGAAGTACCTAACCCAGCCGTACGCCCCTTCAAACGTTGAGGGCAGGTCAGATGCTAGTTTGTGGGTGAATGGGTATTTGAACTGGCCAGCCGGATGTAGGACCGCCTCCTTACTCTCGCCGCGCTCTGAAACATTAGATTTACGATATATTTACAAACATTGTATGGTACAGCCCAACCCACTTCATTAAAACTCAGTTGTTGGACAGATGATCTCGATAAATAAATCTTTCCATTCGTATAATTACTCAGTTGCAGCTATATTCATTTGAGAAGTATTTTTCATAAACTCTGATCTTGACTGGTCCTGTGTTATCCGAAGCTGATAAAACATAACAACATAAATCATTCTTTTGATTAGATCACGTAGTCGGTAAATATTTAATTCCCAATATTCTAGCTCTATGTTAAAGTAATATAAGATACACAATTACTAAAGAATAGATTAGTTTAATACAATATCGTACTATAGTCTGCATCCTCAATTTTATATGAGACTGATGGTTTTTCAAATTCTATAGGAGAGAAGTCCCTAGAGTGAATCGTCCCCCTGGCCTTTATGGTGCATTAGTTTACAATACATTCCCTTCCTTTTACAACCGGACGTCTTTTTATGAGTTAAAGCTTGTTTATTTTGGGCGATTTTATCTGGTGATCTGCAATCCCCGGGCGATTCGTTCAGTGTTATCGTGGCCAGAAACGCACCGAACGAACCACTATGGAAATATGAAGATCTTAGATCGAAGAAAATGAAAGATGTTTTAATTTCTTAATTATAGTACCACTGTTTTGATTTATATAAAAACAAAATGCATGGTACGCGGAATTTTGTTCAGCCATCAGTGGGGTATGGAATGTTAGACATCATTTTGTGCGTTAAATCATTGTTTAGGATATTTGGGTTTTGTTTTTATTTCATACGATTGTCATTTAGTTATTCGGTTTTCTTTCTGTATTTCGCGTTTTATAATGCTCTTTTGTCTTTACCCTCTTTGCCATTTGTTTGCATATCTATGAATATCCATCGTAAAACACTCCCTTGAGCTTGGTACTTCCATCTAAAATGAAAGAGATAATCATAAATTTTCACTATAAATGAGCTTAACGCCGCCGTTCCTTCAGCCAAGTAAACGTAGCAATCGCATCATTATTCTAAACTGTTATATAACGATGCCTTTGTGTCCCATTGATTAGTAATAAGCTTTATATGCAAAACCCGTTTTCCTTTTTCCAAAACAACTATATACCCGTACTTAATTTAATTTTCCTTGAGGAACTGGAACTTTGTCATTCATGGATAAGTGTCAGTTCTAGCTAATTCAACTTCGTTTGAGAACGAGAATTGCAACGTGTATCAGAGTATAGTGTCCTATTATCCGAAGGCTCATCCATGAATGAAATAAATACACTAACAAATTGAAACTGCAATAGATATAAAATGAACAAAACTAAGATGTTTTCAAGAAAATTAGAATAATTACAACAATAAGATCCTTTTAAGACAATTCTGCAAACACAAAAACTATCTTTTGTCTTACATGAGATTCAACAAAAATCTTAAATGGCATTTTCTCATTCGGAAAGATAGCTACTGATCAGTATTCCATTCAAGCCCACACTGGGGATTCTAACCGCTCCGAACATCATGTCTTGTTTGGCTTAGTGTTCATCATCTTCAATTTGGAAAATAAATGTCTCCAAGATAACAAGAGGAAAGAGGAAATACCGTGACGTGATTGATTTAGCTACTGACGATCGATCGATCGATTGTCTTCGGGTTATCTATCCACCGTTCAAATGATACGATTTGATTTCAAAATTGAAATCGGTAAGGTAACATTTGAAAAGCAAAGAGAAGTTCATGTTCGCATTATTGTTGGGTTTCTATAGCTGGATTGATGTATTAAGAGGAGTTTGGCTAAGTGAGTCAAGTTCAGCTAATTTCAAATTTGAATTTGGATAAGTGGTTAAAGTTTGGCTAAATGAATTTAAGTTTGACTCATAAAGTGAGTTTAAGTATGACTAAGTGAGTTTAAGTATGGCTAGGTGAGTTAAAGTGAGGATACGTGACTTTAAGTGAGAAGTGAGTTTTTAAAGTGAATAGTGGTAGTTTATTCATTGAATTAATTAAAGTTAGCTTGGAAATTAAATTAAATACGGTGTTATCTAATTAGCCAATACTTCAAAAGGATTACGCACTCCCAAAGAGGTACTACCAATTAAGAGCTGTTACGTGTCATCGTTTCTTGCGTGTCGACTGTCATGAGAGATTCATGTAATTTCCATATTAGGTGATGGGAGAATAGCAAGTTAACGAGCGGTGGCAGAACATTTAATCCCTTTCCATAAAGATAAATTGAGAAGTGGGGGATCAATGTATGATGCAAGAAGAAAACCGTTGATCTATTCATTTGGGAGATCGTGTAGTATGTTTGGAATACGAAAGATTCGAATATGGGCACAAGAATAAATATAGAATTACGAGACTCTAAAATATAACATGTGAATATTGGAAAATAAAGGGATGTGGAATCTGGCCCCGAGTATATAGAATATGAAAGTCGATTATCAATTCCACAACCCTGTTTGCATTCATTATCGCAGTTAGGCACGTGGCAGACTCACCGAATTTTTTCAGACTTAACTTATGTGGAGAAATAAAACCTATTAATATTGATGATATACATCCTGTATCTTCATTGTCTTGTAATTTTTGCCTCTGCTAATTAAGAAATATAGACCGAAGAGCAGGGGTAATATTGTCGAATACACCCCGCAGGGCTAGGCACAAACGTTTTCTGTACCCCAAACGACCGAAGGTCCGCCATTACTACGGCCCGCCGTTATGACGTCACACATTACACGTATTACAAGGGGTTTTGTTCGCGAATATACCCCAGGTGAAATGTTGACTTTGTTTACAGTTTATAGAAGGCGTGAATACAGCCATGTTCGAATTAAGAAATATAGACCGAAGAGCAGGGGTAATATTGTCGAATACATCCTGCAGGGCTAGGCACAAACGTTTTCTGTACCCCAAACGACCGGAGGGAGTGAGGGGTTCGAAAGCTTTTGTGCCTAGCCCTAAGGGGTGTATTCGACAATAATACACCTGCTCTGAGGTCTATATTACGATTCGAACATGAAAACTCACCAAAATATTTCGAATATTCATTATGGTCCGCCATAACTACGGCCCGCCGTTATGACGTCACACATTACACATATTACCAGGGGTTTTGTTTGCGAATATACCTCGGGTGAAATGTTGTCTTTGTTTACAGTTTAAAGAAGGCGTGAATACAGTCATGTTCGAATCTAGGATACGCCCCTGGCAACTACAAGTTGGACTTTTTGTTGTGGCGTCTGATATCGATTTTCCCAATAACAACGTTACATGTATAGCCCCCCTGAATATAATACTAGCTAACATAATACTCACCATTGCCGTATAAAAGACAGGATGGTTGACATACTGGTGGTACGAGCTGTATCCCCCTGAACCCAATACTAGCTAACATATAATAGGCTACTCACCATTGCCGTATAAAAAGACAGGATGGTTGGGTTGACATACTGGTGGTACGCGTTATATCCCCCTGAACCCAATACTAGCTAATATATAATAGGGTACTCACCATTGCCGTATAAAAAGACAGGATGGTTGACATACTGGTGGTACGAGCTGTATCCCCCTGAACCCAATACTAGCTAACATATAATAGGCTACTCACCATTGCCGTATAAAAAGACAGGATGGTTGGGTTGACATACTGGTGGTACGCGTTATATCCCCCTGAACCCAATACTAGCTAATATATAATGGGCTACTCACCATTGCCGTATAAAAAGACAGGATGGTTGACATACTGGTGGTACGAGCTGTATCCCCCTGAACCCAATACTAGCTAACATATAATAGGCTACTCACCATTGCCGTATAAAAAGACAGGATGGTTGGGTTGACATACTGGTGGTACGCGTTATATCCCCCTGAACCCAATACTAGCTAATATATAATAGGCTACTCACCATTGTCGTATAAAAAGACAGGATGGTTGACATACTTGTGGTACGAGCTATATCCCCCTGAACCCAATACTAGCTAATATATAATGGGCTACTCACCATTGCCGTATAAAAAGACAGGATGGTTGACGTACTGGTGGTACGAGCTGTATCCCCCTGAACCCAATACTAGCTAATATATAATAGGCTACTCACCATTGCCGTATAAAAAGACAGGATGGTTGACATACTGGTGGTACGAGCTATATCCCCCTGAACCCAATACTAGCTATTATATAATAGTCAACTCACCATTGCCGTATAAAAAGACAGGATGGTTGACGGACTGGTGGTACGAGCTGTATCCCCCTGAACCCAATACTTAGAGGTTATGTCACTATGACGTGAAATATGCCTGAGTTCTCCCAATATAGGCCGACCTTGGGAGGCTCTATATTTGGGCAAGAACGAAGGCATATTTCATGTCATAGTGACATAACTGATGTATTACATGCCTTTGTTCCCATGGTTACTTTGTATCAATGACGTGACGTCATGATATTATCATGGTTATTAAAGAAATCTAATATCAAAACGAGGTAATCGGGCAATATCGGTGGATATAGCTCGCTAAAACTTTCCCATTGACTTCCATACAAATGCTTCGCTAGGTATGTAATACTAGCTAATATATAATAGGCTACTCACCATTGCCGTATAAAAAGACAGGGTGGTTGACATACTGGTGGTACGAGCTATATCCCCCTGAACCCAATACTAGCTAATATATAATAGGCTACTCACCATTGCTGTATAAAGAGACAGGATGGTTGACGGACTGGGGGTACGAGCTATATCCCCCTGAACCCAATACTAGCTAATATATAATAGGCTACTCACCACTGCCGTATAAAAAGACAGGATGGTTGACGGACTGGAGGTACGAGTTATATCCCCCTGAACCCAATACTAGCTAATATATAATAGGCTACTCACCATTGCAGTATAAAAAGAGAGGATGGTTGACATACTGGTGGTACGAGCTATATCCCCCTGAACCCAATACTAGCTAATATATAATAGGCTACTCACCATTGCCGTATAAAAAGACAGGATGGTTGACATACTGGTGGTACGAGCTATATCCCTCTGAACCCAATACTAGCTAATATATAATAGGCTACTCACCATTGCCGTATAAAAAGAGAGGATGGTTGACATACTGGTGGGACGAGCTATATCCCCCTGAACCCAATACTAGCTAATATATAATAGGCTACTCACCATTGCCGTATAAAAAGACAGGGTGGTTGACATACTGGTGGTACGAGCTATATCCTCCTGAACCCAATACTAGCAAACATATAATAGGCTACTCACCATTGCCGTATAAAAAGACAGGATGGTTGACGGACTGGAGGTACGAGTTATATCCCCCTGAACCCAATACTAGCTAATATATAATAGGCTACTCACCATTGCAGTATAAAAAGAGAGGATGGTTGACATACTGGTGGTACGAGCTATATCCCCCTGAACCCAATACTAGCTAATATATAATAGGCTACTCCCCATTGCCGTATAAAAAGACAGGATGGTTGACATACTGGTGGTACGAGCTATATCCCTCTGAACCCAATACTAGCTAATATATAATAGGCTACTCACCATTGCCGTATAAAAAGAGAGGATGGTTGACATACTGGTGGTACGAGCTATATCCCCCTGAACCCAATACTAGCTAATATATAATAGGCTACTCACCATTGCCGTATAAAAAGACAGGGTGGTTGACATACTGGTGGTACGAGCTATATCCTCCTGAACCCAATACTAGCAAACATATAATAGGCTACTCACCATTGCCGTATAAAAAGACAGGGTGGTTGACATACTGGTGGTACGAGCTATATCCCCCTGAACCATCGTTGTCCTCACGGAAGTTCACTGTTGCAGCACCATGAATTAATAAGTGAATATCTGAAATAAAAAGACACACTTGAAATAGACAAGTGCAAATATATCCTGACCTTTTTGGTGAACTATGAAACATACTGTATATTTGTAAGATTCATAGAGTCATCATTTGTAGGCTGCAACGTTCATAAGCAAAATTGTAAGTTTTTGAAAATTATCAGGAAGTCCAAAAATTGTTGAGAGACAATAGTGCTACACATAATTAATCATAGGAAGTATTAAGTAACTAAACAGCAATGTTATTCAGTTCAGGACAATCACGTCTTCCCCCAAAACTATTTTTTATTTATCGATCCGGTACCCCGACCTCTTTCTAGTAGATCAACAAATTGAAAGTCCATTCCACTCAACCAGGCGTCAATTAATGGCAAATAGATCAGCAAATATTGAATTGAAATCAGTTTATATTGATTGCCCTCATGGAGACTTTCGGTTAGGGTATGGTTTTCCTCTTGTTATAAAGTAATTGGTTGTTTTAGTTCATATTGGAAATATAATGAAATAGCCGACGTAAAGGAATAAGCAAGGACGTGTACTAGTAATAGGTGTAAGGGAATTTTCATAAGGTTAACTATAAGGCATATACGAAGAAATATGCAAAGCCAAAAGTGCCAAAATGGGAAAGAAACATCAAAAAGTAGATAGAAAAGAAAAAACAAAAGAGACGAGGCGGTCACGAGCAAACAAACCCAAATATCCCACACAATGAACTAACATACAAAGAAACAGTCTTCAACACAGTGCACTCGTAGTACACTAATATATTTTCACATCCCTAACCAAATGATAATGGGGGATTCCAACATTCAGAGCTTATTTCAATACATCATGTTGAAGAATAACTAAAAAGGAAAGAAGACAGCTTCAAAAATAGTCATGGGCACTTACTGTGTACACATACGTTTAGGCAATACTCACACATTACGTATTGGGGGGTTTAAGAATGCATATAAAATCGAAACGCCATAGGGGCATTTTAAATAAATAAATAATATTAATTTTGACACAACGTGACTTTATAAATAGGACGTCATTAATAAAATAACGCCATCCCCTAGTTATCTATCATCAATTTTGGATAATTGGTTTGAAATGAAATCTTTTCGATGCATTGATTATGACATTTCAATCTCCCAGCATGCAATTTGATTCAAGATTATAGTCACATCAAAAAGCTATGTGCCTTTGAAATCAGAGTTGCCATTGACGACTGACTTCAATTACCGCAATTGTGGGCAAATGATACTTTTATCATTGACACATCGGTAGCTTAACGTTCTCTTGAATTTTATTTGAAGAATTATCACTATCGAGCTATATGACACTTATTTCTTATACGAGGGGTGATCAATAAGTAATGGACGCTTTTTTGCACGGATGCTTTTTATAGACCAATCTATTTGATTTTTCCACCAGTGATACATCATTTAATTATCTATCAACTCTGAAGATTTGAAGACAAAATATGCAATCCATGTTGATATATCTTTATATCTGTGAAGGGGATACAGGTACCCCGGGACCGACATTTACGTCACATATTCTGAAGTAATGTCAATTTGGTATATCATTTAGATTTGAAAGTATTGTGATGTCAAAGTGTTGTATGTTCAGGGTTTGCAGGTTGGTTTGAGAATGCACTGTGGAAGAAGGGGTTAGTGAGAGGAGGTAACACCCTACTCCATGTGGACAATGCCCCTGCCCAAATATCTCAAAATGTTCGGGATACAATATCCTTGGACCTGAACATGAAGCCCTTGGCCCATGCACCCTTTAATCCAGATCTGGCCACACATGACTTATTTATTTCTATACTTCTTATTTCTATAGAGAAAGGATGCATGTGTAATGACATTGATGAAATAAAACCAGCTGTGTAACTACAGCGTCCTACCATGTCAGAGAATGGATTTTGAATCTGATGCTGTGGATTTATTCGAGAAAGACTGGTCTTTTGGTATCTAAGTATATTTTAGGGGAAAAGTCAAAATTATGAAAGGTATTGAACTTTTTGTAAGTGTAACCTTTTTTTGAGACACACTGTAGAGTGCAAATATCGTGTACTCAAATTACATGATTATTTCTTGGATGCCGATTTCATCAATCGCTTCAGTATAGTTTGAACGTGTCTGTGATTTTGAACGTATTGCCTCTTGTGCCTTTTAGAGCTGGAAATTATTACAATTGCATAGTAAAGCTACAAGCCTCTGTGAACCCCCTCTACTTACCAAAACACCTTCTCTCAAAGAATTGTGTTGTAGTGGGGGGGGGAGATCGCAATGACCCGTAGCAAGACTAACAATTACATACAGCAATCCTAAGTGTTCTCAGTAGATTATAATTTGCTTTTCAATAGTAAATTTTAACAAAAGACTAATCAATGATAAGACTGATTAGTTATCTACTTTATGAAGTAATCTTCAGTTAATCAGTGAAGCTGCTACAGTTTGACAGGAATGTCAATAAGTCCTCTTTGAGATTTGCAGCGAGAGATTTCCTTGTGGAGGTTCTTACCGCAGACATTGTTAACAGCCTTCAATAAATACGATAATATTATACAATGCGATAATATCACACCGGAATAGCCTGACAACGGTAAAGTCAGATACCGTTGTCACAAATGGCGGACATAATCGTCGCTTCAACTGTTTAATCACTTGGTCCTCATTTCATGGGATTTTATCGTCACCAATTCTCTGCATGTTTTAAGCTCTTGTGATGATGTTTCATATGAAATCCCAATTTCGTTCAAATTGGGTCATGAATCGCTACAATATAGCCTCTTCGATATCGTCAATGACAACGGAATCTTAATTTGAGTAATTTAGAAAGACAACGGCATCTGGTAATTACAATGTCCGTTGTCCCGTATCTCATTTTGATCGGTTAAATTAAAGACTTTATTTCGATGCTAGAACATTATTAACTGTACAATGAGATCAAGACACTTTGATTGATTGTTGTTCCAAAGATATCTAGTCTAGGTGCTCTATTAAACACACAGTTCATGAAAATCTAATTGAAGCGACAGTTATGCCCGCCATTTGTGACAACGGTATCTGACTTTACCGTTGTCAGGCTATTCCACTGTGAATATCCTAATTTCAATAATTGAGCAGCTTGTATATTATGTATATATGTTCTACTCGAGAAACAAAGTCTGGAATTGAAAAATTAGGGACGATCAACGATGGAGATGTTTCGCCCGTTAGTTATGCCAAATCACCTAATACATTATTAATGGTTCTTGTATTCTCACTTTCAACAAGATCGAAACCTGTTTGTGCGTTACATTCTTCACTTCGATCAGAATGATAAGTCCCCTGGGCTGTCTTCAAATACGATCAATGACAATGTCATTAAGTGAAAATGTGATATTCATTGAAGTATTTTCTTGTGAACTCAACAGGAGTGATAAAACGTATTAAATCAGTGCAGGGTCTTATCTTAGGGCCAATTTAGTTAACGTACCATCATACACTACATACATTGATAGTGATACTACACAAATCTGGTTATGTACCCTTCACCCCATCCCCTTGGCTACGCCTGTGTAATTTGATACTACACAAATCTGGTTATGTACCCTTCACCCCATCCCCTTGGCTACGCCAGTGTACTTTGATACTACACAAATCTGGTTATGTACCCTTCACCCCATCCCCTTGGCTACGCCTGTGTACTTTGATACTACACAAATCTGGTTATGTACCCTTCACCCCATCCCCTTGGCTACGCCTGTGTACTTTGATTCTACACAAATCTGGTTATGTACCCTTCACCCCATCCCCTTGGCTACGCCTGTGTACTTTGATACTACACAAATCTGGTTATGTACCCTTCACCCCATCCCCTTGGCTACGCCTGTGTACTTTGATACTACACAAATCTGGTTATGTACCCTTCACCCCATCCCCTTGGCTACGCCTGTGTACTTTGATACTACACAAATCTGGTTATGTACCCTTCACCCCATCCCCTTGGCTACGCCTGTGTACTTTGATTCTACACAAATCTGGTTATGTACCCTTCACCCCATCCCCTTGGCTACGCCTGTGTACTTTGATACTACACAAATCTGGTTATGTACCCTTCACCCCATCCCCTTGGCTACGCCTGTGTACTTTGATACTACACAAATCTGGTTATGTACCCTTCACCCCATCCCCTTGGCTACGCCTGTGTACTTTGATACTACACAAATCTGGTTATGTACCCTTCACCCCATCCCCTTGGCTACGCCTGTGTACTTTGATTCTACACAAATCTGGTTATGTACCCTTCACCCCATCCCCTTGGCTACGCCTGTGTACTTTGATACTACACAAATCTGGTTATGTACCCTTCACCCCATCCCCTTGGCTACGCCTGTGTACTTTGATACTACACAAATCTGGTTATGTACCCTTCACCCCATCCCCTTGGCTACGCCTGTGTACTTTGATACTACACAAATCTGGTTATGTACCCTTTACCCCATCCCCTTGGCTACGCCTGTGTACTTTGATTCTACACAAATCTGGTTATGTACCCTTCACCCCATCCCCTTGGCTACGCCTGTGTACTTTGATACTACACAAATCTGGTTATGTACCCTTCACCCCATCCCCTTGGCTACGCCTGTGTACTTTGATACTACACAAATCTGGTTATGTACCCTTCACCCCATCCCCTTGGCTACGCCTGTGCACTTTGATTCTACACAAATCTGGTTATGTACCCTTCACCCCATCCCCTTGGCTACGCCTGTGTACCTTGATACTTCACAAATCTGGTTATGTACCCTTCACCCCATCCCCTTGGCTACGCCTGTGTACCTTGATACTTCACAAATCTGGTACGTTTGTTACATTACCTTAGACAGAATGAATGTAAATGTAAACACATAAACATCAGCGGTACTGTAATAATGTTTTCATAGTAATACAAGAACAAAAGTTTATGCACGAATGATCGAGCCCCTGTTCATGCAAGGCCCATGTGACTCATTAACGTCACGCAACATACAACTTACCATAGAATCTGACAAAGAGGATGTAAATCCTCTGATCGTAGAATCATTAGCAAATGTTTTATGCTATAATATGTTAGCAATGTGTACCATATATTCTACATTAGTTAATAAAGCGAACGTATGAATCTCAGAATAACATGAGAGTAATTAATCGGGTAATACGTATTGAATCAAAATGATTTTTTTACGCTAATGGAATATCTATACAAATATGTAAGAATAACTGACTCGGGGGAAAGACTTAAAAGTGTTTCAAGCAGAACGATAAAATGAAATACCAAGGAGTAGAACCACACATATAGGGAAAATAAACTCCAGATCTCAAATGTCTAACATTCCTTCTCCAAAATTCAGCAACCAATATCACAATCCCAGACCAAATAATCTATGTAAATAATTATGTTGAATAATATGGAAATAAATAACAATAACCTATAAAAAAAGAAAGGAATATTAGTTCAATATTATGGCACATGTCGCCTTTTTAATCAGAATGAAGCAAAGCGCTGTTCAAACTGCTAAAATGCCAGACACCATACAACCAAAATCTAACTGTTTGGCAACCAAGTCTCCCCCTTCAGATCACGTGTTACAAAATCATTTTCATGTTTGGCAACTCGTAAGAAAAATACCTGAGCCATTGTAAGTGAGGATCGATATTAAGTTTCAAACCGGTGTAAAAGGGTAGGAGGTCCTATCAAATTATGGTCCTACTTTCCATTGATTTATACGGTGACCTAAACAAAACTGTACCCTTTCCCTTATTATTATATCCACAATCAGGGCCAGCAAGGGCCTCTGAAAAATGGGACCATAATCCCCAGGGGACCATAATTTCTTTCACACCGGTTGAGAAAGGTATCATCATATTTCGAGTTTTGGTTGCTATACTCATTGCGGGAGTGTTACACGCAATTGGGAATTTGCTAGTCAGACAAAAATTATGATGAAGTATGTTTTGTCTCTTTGCATCTACTTTTTGGCATTTCTATCTTCACTAAAGATTAAAGAGGAAGGTATGTTGTGTTTTCAAGTACAGATTTTGATAAATACAACTAAATGTTGTTGTTTTTCATCGGTGCAAGCGTCTAATGAAAGTACCTCTATCAACATCGTCAATATGAAAAATATAACATAAGCAATGCTTGGAATGTAATGGAACAGTAAAGTAGCAAGCGAAGGTAACTAAAAATATCGAAATCGACACTTCCGTCCGTCATCTTTGATGCGAAGGTGACGGCCGTTACCTTCCCATGATACTGACCAGTGAGAAGCATGGTACTTAACTGTTCCATTTCATTCTTTAGCATTGCTTATATTATACGCATTTTTCATATTGACGGTGTTGAATTTAGCACCCTCAATTCCATGTTAACATCTGACTTGTTACCCTACATCTCCCCGAACAACCCCCTCGGGTCGTTACAAACATGATTCTGGGGCAGCTTATTTTGCAATGTTTGGACTGTATAGAGTTCAAAGTTCTTATATAACCTGTCATGATATAACCTGTCATAATGACAATTTGTAAGCACGTGTGGCAAACAGGATTTACCAAAAGTGTAACGTATAACATGACAATGTGTGCAAAATACCAAGACAGCAAAACCAGACAAAAGGAAACCTAATCCCCAAGATCCCAAACTATTATCTTAAGTAAAACGAAACAATGCCCTTTTAACAACTATCCCAGATTTTGGTTACTATTATCAAAATCCACACCTTTAAACTTTTACTTGGATGCCGCAAGCTTTGTACATGGTGGGCAAGCATTGTTTTAAGTCTGTATTTTTGATAAAATGCTTTGTATGAAAGTATGTTGATAAGAGGAGGGAAAACCCCATGATTCAATTGATGATATACGATTTCCTCCTTCGCGCACCTCCTTTCCCGGAAGTACGTATATTTATACTTCCCTCCATCTTGGTTTTCAAAGTTTTCAAATTGACCTAGTTTTAAACCGTAACGAAATCAAAAAGAGACAGAATTCTTTTACTATGGTAAGGAAATGATAAAATTATAAACTATCTGAGACAGGGGTATTCCATATGTAACAAACAAATAATTTTCTTGTAGATTTCGAATTGAATGATATAGACGTTTATTGGAAGCAAGCTGAACTGTTGTTTATGCCCGCTCTAACATTACCATTGACAGTTTTTGAAGGTGGTATAAGAGAATGGTTGTAGGCGATGGGATGTTAGACACTATTTCTCTTTGAACATTACAGTAAAATTTTAAATGTTTGGAACTACTTTGAATCTAAAAAATAAGCAATCAAAGGACCATATTGAAACAGAATATGTAAAAATAGAAACATTTATACATGTCCTAACTTTGTATATTTTAGTTTTCGAAAAAATTAACATGTCTGAAACTCCCTAAATTACAAAGGGCCATAGCTTTGCTGTACATTAAACATAACTATCTAAATATACAAAAGTTAGGACTTGTATATATGTTTCCATTTTTGCATATACTGTTGCAATATAGCCTAGTCATTTGATTGCTTATTTTTTTTATTCAAAGTGGTTCCAAACATTTAAAATTTAACTGTATATCATTACTTTGGATGCTGGGGATTTTTTTTGCGGTTTTACTCGTTTATGCCCTGATGTCATATTACAATGTACAATGCAGCATTGGAAGGGAAATGGATCGAATATAAATAAGATATGTTGTTGGTATTATGATTTAAAAAGAAAAATAATTCGCTTACTTTTAATCTTCATAGGTTCACTAAACTCCACTTGAAGGTACCCTGAGAGTGTCTCCCCCGCCTTGAAGACTGCATTTGGATTATTGAAGACTGCGGCAAGCACCTTTATTTTCCCCATAGTGGTGCACTCGCACGTTATTCCATGATGTTGCCTTTATGGCATAGGCTTAGCACTGGAAGTACACGTTGAACTTGACATGTATTATCGCCTCTAGTATTGTTAACAGTCACTTGAGTATTCTTCTTTTCATCATTAGGAACTGATATCGACTATTCTAACAAAACCTTTTATGTAGATTGCTGTTGAAGAAATATAATGGGATTAGGTCTGTACAAGTATTTTAAGAGGGGAGGGGGTCGTTTCCCCCTTTCCTGCAAAATGTATTGCCCTTCTGTGAAAATTCCGAGTCTAGCTTCAGAAAATGAAGACACATTGTTTTAAAAATTAAAAACTCATTTTCCTAAAAATGTATGCTCAAAATAGGAATTGATCGTGTCAATTATTTTGTCACACTAAAACTCCAAAACTTGATAATTAAACGATGTAACTTTGTGTGCAGATTTCAAATATGATATCACTTCATTTTAAATATTTGATGACGAAAATCAAGATCATCTTCTCTTGCATCTAGTCCTTTTCCGAATACAAGGATAAGGTCAAAAAGGTGTCTCCACTCTAAGAGTGTAGGTGTTAGTCAAGCTCTGATAAAGAGTTGCGAAGGGGCAATTTGTAACTCGAATGGTAAACGTGTCTAAGAAAGACAATATCGATTGGCCCATTTTTCAACATGAAATTAAGTGATCGATTTATAAAATGCAAAATTGATGAGGCGTTTCAAGCGTAGTTTAATGCATCAGATAATGTGATCCAAGTGACTAATGACCGTGAACACGTTGATATTTTTCGTATTTAGCCAAGCCGACTTTTTGATTGATATCTTGTAGGCAGGAAACCTGAGAGAGGATCTCTTAAAAGCAAAATAAGGCTGAACTTACAGGGTTGGCCAATTAAAATTGGAACATTTTATTCAATTTTCATTTAATATCTATTTATTCAATTGCTTTTATTTTTGAAGTTCAATCCCAAAAAATCAGATAATAACATGATTATTTGTGAAAATATCAAAGATAAAAATATGTACGAATAATTATTTTGGCTTGTCATGGTCATGATCTGTATACTGCGTGTATCATAAAAATGTCCAAAGTTTCTCTGCTTGAGACATCAATGCTGAAAATACCCTACAAATGGTCTCAACACAATTTCTATGAATTAAAACATATGTATACCTTTATGAGAAGCAAGACATGTCTCCCTTGGATAATATTAGTTATTGAAAACACAGAATGAAGTCCTGTGCTGTTTTCAAAACTGGCACAATCTATGTCTCAAAACCTATAATTTGAGCCATATATGACTGTCCTATAGAACGCTATTTAAAGTTAGAAATCATAATTATCTAATTTGGAGCCCTCGGAGCTTGTATATTCATATTTACACAAGCTGTTGACCTTGAATTAAGTTTCCCTTCCCCTAAGTTTTTGTATTTAAGTACAGTTAGTCAGTAGTATGGCATTACAATCCCATTTATTTGTTAATTGTATCTCCGTTCACTCGGCTCCCGTCGGAGACAGTGAACACAGTGAAGACCGAGAGTGCGATAATGGGTTAATTTGAGAGCTCGAAAAATACCTATCTTAAAAGACTAAAGACTATCTTATAAGTATACTTGACCTTATGACGAATTGATTGCCTTATAATATGAGTGGCCATTTGAATCGGGATATGTCATACTTTTTTACGCGTAAAAGGTACATTTTTACGCGTGAAATGTAAGAAATAGTTTTTACGCATAAAAAGTATATTTTTAACGCGTAAGGCATGTAACATGTAAATTACGTCTTAGCTAACAGCCTATCAAAACCATTGTTACAATTTGTTTGTTAATTTCAAAACGTACTTTTACGCGTAAAAATCTACGTAGATATTCAAAGCTTCTAAAATATGAAGATACTTTGGTCCGGATGGCCTATTTTCGTTCTCTTAACGAACGTTTCCACCCATTTGCAGGACAGCCGGAGTAAGAAATACTATCTTATGAACATACAACTGTATGACCATGATTGACATTTTTGCACTTCATTTATTCGTAAAGAGCGGGGTTTTGTCCATGACATATTGGTTCAGGAACATTTGTGTATCCACAAATAGTTGCACTTATACTAAAAACCAACCAAGTATGCTCTTTGGAGAGTTAAGGAGATGGCCTGGTAGACCAAATTGGTTCATTAACATGCAGTTAAGAACGGGTTGGTGTTCAACTTTTTACACTGTTCGTTTGTACGCAGGCATGTTGGGATGCGTTTTTGTTTAATTTCCTTTTTTTCTTATCACAATTTTTGGAGTTTCCTCTAGTTTTACCAATGTGCTTTAATATACACAAACCTTTTATTTGACTGAACTTTCTTTTCGAAAATAAGCGACTATATCTAAATACCTAAATATCAGAATTGTTTTAAACATATATATTTGTTGCGCGATTGATATTTAACGTATAATTCAATCGCAATGTTATGTGTATCATATTTAATTTGCGACATTTACATATTATACAAGTATATGAAATGAAATGTAAATAGGGAAGTAATTAATTTCACAACACGGTGGTTATATGGTGAGAAACATCCTGTATGGTCCCTGAGACTAACATAAAATTTTATGTTAGTCTCAGATGGTCCCAATCAACGGTATCCTAACTTATAATAAGCTCATACTAAAAAAGAAAGGAGATGCATAAAAAGAGACAGAACACACCATTGGACATATCATACATCGTGATTAATCACTGAATACTCTCAATTCGGTCTTATAAATTGATCCTGTCGACTGAAACAAGAGTGGCAGAAAGAAAGACAATTTGTTAAAAGGCATAGCATGATCCCCAGAGCCTTCTCTCGTGTGTTTTTAAAGTCCAGTCTGATTGATTTATGACTTATAGAAGACTTCTTGATCAACTTTATCCATCCACGATTCCCAATGGAGATCAAATACCAGAATAAAATATACAGTACAACGTATTTTCAACTATCTTGCTATTTTCATGTTTATTTACTTTTAAAAGGAATACAGTATAATTGTACAGGTTTTGGTGGCTGGGCAACAATATAGCATAATCAGCCATTTTCTTAAAACAGGCTCCAGTGTTCAATCCATAAGTCCAAACGTAAGAATTGGTGGAGACGAACCAGTTTTCTATTTGTACATGATGATGGCGTGATTAACAAAATATTTAATTTCGTACAGTACACTTCTCTTTATTGTACCTTGATTTATGATTCCAGTCGTTGCGTTTGATTGTTCCTTGATAATAAGTTATTCATGCATTTGCTAATTGATGGTAAATTACTGTTGTAACGAAGGATAAAAAATGACATATTACCAACCGAATCAGAAACAGTAAATAACATGAAATCACCAACTAGGGAATTTGTATGTTACGTGGTGCCTTTGAGCATGTTCGATTAAGCGTTTCCGCATCGCGCGTTGCATTCGTGATTACTTGATCGTTGAAACAAACTTCGCTACATTGTTTTTTACAGTTTCGGTCTTGTCTTGTATAAGATATTCTGAACATATTGAATCTGGAAGTGTACAGTATGGAAGATGATTTGAGGTTATCTTGTTGGCAATTAGAGGCTATGCTAGCACAGCTTAAAGAATGCGAATGTGAAACGTGTAAAATTATTATCAACGTGGAACATCGTTTCTCTCCTCGTGGGCTTTACATGTATTTGCACTATGGAGTATGAAGGCATACTGAGGAATGTAGTTGTGAATAGGTACATGTATCAGTATAAACCAAATATAAAGAGAGAGGCAATACTCAATGGGGTCATAATATACCTTGCTTTGCGGATGGATGTTGACCCTTTGGAACTTTTATGGACTTTGAGATTGGATTTTGTTTGTCCCACATCATTTGAGACTGACTGCCATATGAATACTAGAACATCTACAACTATTTTTTGATGTTATATTTATTTTTCATCACATATCGTAATGGGTTATGTATGAATGAAATGTCCCTTGGTATTATAGCCCTGGTTTGTGATAATAGACATAGAATACTGGGGGAGGGGATTATCAGACATTGCTTTTTCAGGTTGGATTATAGTTTGGGATAGTTGGGGTTAGATGTTTTCTTTTTTCCTGCTACGTTCTGTAACAATTCTTGGTCCATTCCCTTTGACACTTGCTTATCCTATTCACAATTGTAGTCAGGAAATCACGACTCGGCATTTCTGACTCTTTCATCGAACAGTCGTTTCACATTCAAACCAAACTCAAATAAAAGTCCCATAAAACGTTAGCAGCATCAAAGCGGTGAAATCATCTGTAAAAATAGATGATAAGTGCGGTTAGTCTATTGAGATTCGGGGTAATATGCCTTTGACATTGTATCCAGTGAGGATTAGTGTAGTTTGATGTCTTCATTTTCGATTCCTGATTATTGTTGATCTATGTGATACCGCTATGAGGGAGATGTACCATCGTTTTTAACGATATAAGACGATCAAACCATGATCGATAACACTCACTGTTTCGTGATTGACCAGTAATTAGGCCGGTGGATCTAAGTCAAGATGACGAGAAAAGGCATAGTTCAAAGTTGAACTCTCAACTTCGTTATTGTCGCAACTTCAATCATCTATATTTGAATACTGCACATTGATGTGGTGGATTAATCATAATTGCACTACATCCTTGATAATCTTATGGGAGAATAACAAGTCATCATTATGTTCAATTACGACAAAAACGAACATTGTTTTGTTCGAAGCGTATTTACAAAATTCTGAACTGCCATTTTGTTTCTGTAAGTCACGTGAACAATGCATTTTGACAAATCAGCGTGATTATACGGCATGACGTAACTTACTGACCAATAAAACAGAGGTTTATCGTTACATGAAGATATGACGCTGATGGGGCGTATCCCCTCTTGATGGTTTAAGTCTATGGTTTAATGTAATTTGTAGTTAACCAGTTTATTGACGGGCAGATTTAGTTTTTTATAACAGTTGCCTTCGAGCTAAAAAATACTGATATTGATAAATTAGATAACGTTTGCCGATGGTGGTATTCTGAGGTTAGATGCGCATTTAAATGTAT